TATTTATTTATTTGAGACAGAGAGAATGAGAGAGACAGAGAGCACATGAGAGGGGGGAGGGTCAGAGGGAGAAGCAGGCTCCTCGCCGAGCAGGGAGCCCGATGCGGGACTCGATCCAGGGACTCCAGGATCATGACCTGAGCCAAAGGCAGTTGCTTAACCAACTGAGCCACCCAGGTGCCCCTGTAATTCTCCTTTTTGATGGGGTCTTTGGTTTGGGGATCAAGGTAATGGTGGCCTCATAAAACGAGTTTGGAAGTTTTCCTTCCATTTCTATTTTTTGGAACGGTTTCAGAAGAATAGGTATTAATTCTTCTTTAAATGTTAGGTAGAATTCCCCTGGGAAGCCATCTGGCCCTGGGCTTTTGTTTGTTGGGAGATTTTTGATGACTATTTCAATTTCCTTAGTGGTTATAGGTCTGTTCAGGTTTTCTGTTTCTTCCTGGTTCAGTTTTGGTGCCTGATACATCTCTAGGAATGTACCCATCTTCAGGCTAACTAATTTGCTGGCATAGAGTTGCTCATAATATATTCTTATAATTGTTTGTATTTCTTTTGTGTTGGTTGTGATCTCTCCTCTTTCATTCATGATTTTGTTGATTTGGGTCATTTTTCTTTTTGATAAGTCCGGCCAGGGGTTTATCAATCTTATTAATTCTTTCAAAGAACCAGCTCCTAATTTCGTTGATCAGTTCTACTGTTCTTTTGGTTTCTATTTCATTGATTTCTGCTCTGATCTTTATTATTTCTCTTCTCTTGCTGGGGTTAGGCTTTATTTGCTGTTCTTTCTCCAGCTCCTTTAGGTGTACGGTTAAGTTGTGTACTTGAGACCTTTCTTGTTTCTTGAGAAAGGCTTGTATTGCTATATACTTTCCTCTTAGGACTGCCTTTGCTGCATCCCAAAGGTTTTGAACAGTTGTATTTTCATTGGTTTCCATGAATTTTTTTTTTAAAGATTTTATTTATTTATTTGATAGAGCGAGAGAGTACAAGCAGGGGGAACAGTAGAGGGAGAAGGAGAAGCAGGCTCCCTTCCAAGCAGGGAGCCAGATGTGGAGCTCAATCCCAGGACCCTGGGATCATGACCTGAGCCGAAGGCAGACGCTTAACCATCTGAGCCACCCAGGCACCCCTCCATGAATTTTTTTCATTCTTCTTTAATTTCCTGGTTGACCCATTCATTCTTTAGTAGGATGCTCTTTAGCCTCCACGTATTTGAGTTCTTTCCGACTTTCGTCTTGTGATTGAGTTCTAGTTTCAAAGCATTGTGGTCTGAAAATAGGCAGCGAATGATCCCAATCTTTTGGTACCAGTTGAGACCTGATTTATGACCTAGGATGTGATCAATTCTGGAGAATGTTCCATGGGCACTACAGAAGAATGTGTATTCCGTTGCTTTGGGATGGAATATTCTGAATATGTCTGTGAAGTCCATTCAGTCCAGTGTGTCATTTAAAATCTTTATTTTCTTGTTGATCTTTTGCTTAGATGATCTGTCCATTTCAGTGAGGGGGATGTTAAAGTCCCCCACTATTATTTTTGTTAATGTGTTTCTTTGCTTTTGTTATTAATTGCCTTATATAATTGGCTGCTCCCATGTTAGGGGCATAGATATTTACAATTGTTAGATCTTCTTGTTGGATAGACCCTTTAAGTAGGGTATAGTGTCCTTCCTCATCTCTTATTACAGTCTTTGGTTTAAAATCGAATTTGTCTGATATGAGGATCACCACCCCAGCTTTCTTTTGGTGTCCATTAGCATGGGAAATGGTTTTCCACCCCCTCACTTTCAATCTGGGGGTGTCTTTGGGTCTAAAATGAGTCTCTTGCAGACAGCATATCAATGGGTCTTGTTTTTTAATCCAGTCTGATAGCCTGTGTCTTTTGATTGGGGCATTGAGCCCATTTACATTCAGGGTAACTATTGAAAGATATGAATTTAGTGCCAAGTATTGCCTGTAAGGTGACTGTTACTGTATATTGTCTGTGTTCCTTTCTGGTCTATGTTGCTTTTAGGGTCTCTCTTTGCTTAGAGGACCCCTTTCAATATTCCTTGTAGGGCTGGTTTCGTGTTTGCAAATTCCTTTAGTTTTTGTTTGTCCTGGAAGCTTTTTTTCTCTCCTATTTTCAATGACAGCCTAGCTGGATATAGTATTCTTGGCTGCATATTTTTCTCATTTAGTGCTCTGAATATATCCTGCCAGTCCTTTCTGGCCTGCCGGGTCTCTCTGGATAGGTCTGTTGCCAATCTAATGTTTCTACCATTGTAGGTTACATATCTCTTCTCTGGAGCTGTTTTCAGGATTTTCTCTTTGTCTCTGAGACTCGTAAGTTTTACTATTAGATGTCGGGGTGTTGACCTATTTTTATTGTTTTTGAGAGGGGTTCTCTGTGCTTCCTGGATTTTGATGCCTGTTTCCTTCCCCAAATTAGGGAAGTTCTCTGCTATGATCTGCTCCAGTATACCTTCTGCCCCTCTCTCTCTTTCTTCTTCTTCTGGGATCCCAATTATTCTAATGTTGTTTCATCTTATGGTATCGCTTATCTCTTGAATTCTGCCCTCGTGATCCAGTAGTTGTTTATGTCTGTTTTTCTCAGCTTCTTTATTTCCCATCATTTAGTCTTCTATATCACTGATTCTCTCTTCTGCCTCATTTATCCTAGCAGTTAGCGCCCCCATTTTTGATTGCACCTCATTAATGGCCTTTTTGATTTTGACTTGGTTAGATTTTAGTTCTTTTATATCTCCAGAAAGGGTTTCTCTAATAACTTCCATGTTTTCTTCAAGCCCAGCTAGTATCTTTAAAGTGATTCTGAACTCTAGGTCCCACATCGTACTGATGTCCATATTGAGTATGTCCCTGGCAGTCTGTACTACCTCTTGTTCTTTTTTTTTTTTTTAAAAGATTTTATCTATTTATTTTTTTGAGAGAGAGAGAGAGAAACAGCATGAGAGGGGATAGGGTCAGAGGGAGAAGCAGGCTCCCTGCCAAGCTGGGAGCCAGATGCGGGACTCGATCCCAGGACTCTGGGATCATGACCTGAGCCGAAGGCAGTCGCTTAACCAACTGAGCCACCCAGGCGCCCACCACTTGTTCTTTTTGTTGAGGTGATTTTTTCCGTCTTGTCATTTTGTCTAGAGGAGATTAGATTAATGAGTGAACAAAATACTAACAGGGTAACAATGTCCCCAGAAAATATACTCTAAACAAATCAGAAAAGACCTGAAGCTGGGGGAAAAGAAAGGGAAAGATAGAAAAAAGAAAAAGCAAAAAAAAAAAAAGAAAAAAGATAAAAGGAAACAAAAACAGAACAAAGCAAAAAAACCCAGAATATGATCAAATATGATCAGGCTGGTGCATAGATCAGTGCCACACACTAGATTTTGGGTGTATTTTGGTCTGTTAGAAGAAAGTGCCTTTCAAAATTTTAAAGAAAGAAAAATTTATATATGTACAAAAATAAGGTTTGATATGATGAAGGGATGGAATATGACTGTAAAGATGAAAATTATAAAACATTTTATAAAATGAATTGATAAGTTGTTTGAAAAAAGAAGAGGATTTAAAAAAAAAAGAAAAAAAAGGGAGAGAATGTGATCCAGCAGGAGAGTAGGAAAAAACCATACACTAGAGATTTAGGGCATATTTTGATCTGTTAGAAGAAACTATCTCAAAATTTTAAAGAGAGAACACTTATGTATATATGCCAAAAATATGGGTAACTACTATGAAGGGATAGAATATGACTCTAAAAATGAAAAATAAAAATGTTTTTTAAGAAAGGGATTGAGGGGCGCCTGGGTGGCTCAGTCGTTAAGCGTCTGCCTTCGGCTCAGGTCATGACCAGGGTCCTGGGATCGAGTCCCCGCATCGGGCTCCCTGCTCAGTGGGAAGCCTGCTTCTCCCTCTCCCACTCCCCCTGCTTGTGTTCCTGCTCTTGCTGTCTCTCTCTCTGTCAAATAAAAAAAAAAAAAATCTTAAAAAAAAAAAAAAAAGGGATTGATAAGATGTTGGTTGAAAAAGGGAAAAAGAAAAATTCAAAGAAAAAAAAAAAAGACAATTAAAAAAAAAAAACTTTGAAAGACTAAAGAATCCTGGTCAAAAAGCCATGGATTCTATGTGCAGTATTCCCCTAGCACTGGAGTTCTGCCATTCTCATTGATCGGTAAACTTGGTCTTGGCTGGCTGTTCTCTCTGATCTTCTGGGGGAGGGGCCTGTTGCCATGGTTTCCAAAAGTCTTTGCCAGAGGCGGAATTGCCCCACCCTTGCCCAGTCCAGGCTAAGTAATCTGCTCGGGTTTGCTCTCCGGAGCTTTTGTTCTCTGCATGCTGTCCGTACAGCTTTGGAGGACGAGAGTGAAGATGGCAGCCTCCCAATATCCACCTCGGAGGAGCCAAGAACTCGGGGCCTCGATCCTCAGTGTGCCCCCAGAGAAAAGCCGTCAGTCACTCCCGCCTCCCCGGTCTCTGGCTGCACTCTGTGCTCACCCGGCCTGTGACTGAGAGTTTCTATCTCTGGCACCCAACCCCATGCGGAGTCTCCAAACCCAGCAGATCCCTGCGGTGCGCTCCCATGCTGCTCCTCCCCGGGGGAGGAAGGTGAGTCTCCCCGGATCTGCCGCTTGTTGGGTCCCTGCTGGAGCAGCAGTGGCCCGACTGTGCTGCGGATCACAGTTTATGGCAACCCCGAGCTGAGAGCCCGCGCCTCAGCTCCATCTCTGCAGCCGGCTTCCCTGCTCTGATACCTGGGAGCTCTGCCGCACTCAGGCACCCCCGGTCTTCCTGTGACACCGAGGGTCCTGAGACCACACTGTCCCACGAGGGTTCCACCCCCCGCTTAGCCACCAGAGCGACGTCCCTTAGTGGAGCCGACTTCTAAAAGTTCTGATTTTGTGCTCTGCAGCACTATCAATTGCCAGAAGTGGTTGACAGAGACCCCCTCCCCCACTGCCTATCCTCCCGAATATCGCCTTGGATTCACTTCTTCACACATCCTACCTTCCAGAAAGTGGTCGCTTTTCTGTTCAGAGAGTTGTTGCTATTCTTTTCTTTGATCTCCTGTTGAGTTTGTAGGTGTTCAGAATGGTTTGATCCCTATCTAGCTGAATTCCTGAGACCAGATGAAATCCAGGTCTCCTACTCCTCTGCCATCTTGCTCCGCCCCCCTGCCCGTTTTTGTAAATACAGTTTTTTTTGGAACACAGCCATTCATTTTTATAGGTGCCGTTGTGCTTAACAGCAGAGTTGAATAGTTGTGATAGGAGCTGAGTAGCCCACAAAGCTTAAAACATTTACTTTGTGACCTTTTACAGAAAAATATTGCCAAGTGTAGAACATTAGAGCTTCTCTTTACTTTCCCCAGGAAACCAGGCAAGTGTACTCTCCTGTCACTCTTCCGTTTTCATCCTCTCCACTCTTGACCTCAAGACATGAAACTTACTCCATTGATCATACCTGTGAAGAACGTAAAATTTGGGAGTTGGGAAGGAGAACAGATATAGGAAGGACAATATTTCAAGGTCATGAGGTGAAAACATGAAAGAGGAACTCCACAATGCTTATTTTTTTATATTAATATTTATTCATTACCTTTAATGTACTAGGGTACTGCTAGATACTTTTCATGCATAATAACATTTAGTTGTCAGAACATATCTCTGAGATAGATGTTCTTATTAACCTTATTTTAAAAATGAGGGCATTGAGGGATTTTTGCCCAAAGTTACATTGTAAGTGACTGAATCAGGATTTGAACTCAGCCCAGTCTAGCTCTAGAGTCTCAGCTTAGCCCCTCCATCACTATGCTGAGCAGAAACAAGTTACATGTGGAAAAAGGGAGCCTACTAAGTAGGTTGGAGAAGAGCTGTGTTCCAGAAAGTGGATGTAGGGAAGGTAAACGTTATAGATTTAAACTAAATTTCAGGTGGCCTTGAGTGCCAGACTGTGGATTTTGGACTTTATTGTGAGAACTTTGGGAAGCTTACATGATGGAAATCAATCTGGGGTTGTGAAGAGTTGAAGGCATGAGATGAGGTAAGGCAGAGGGAGAGCTTGGCAGGCTGTTATAGTACAACCGAGCACAATGAATAAGCCTTCAACTATGATGCTATAAATTTTAAAGTGGATAATAAAAAGTTGTGAATCTGTTTTCTTAGAGTAATGACTCTAAAAGTATTTCTAGGTTAATTTTAGAGGAGAATATAGGTCGCCCCTCTCCTTTCTCTGTCCTTGGCTGGATTTTCATCTACCATGGAGAATGCTGAGAGAGATGCCATAATAAAATTGGGAAATGGGAAATATCTTCCCCTGAAGCACCTTTGCCTATGAGTGTAGTCATTTGTGCCTTTCTTAAGGCTTGTGGGGACCTTCTTAATTCATGCAAGGACTGAGAACTTGAATTTGATCTCCTAGTTACTAATAAGTTAACAATCTTACTTTGTTCTATATGACAGATAGGACTCTGTTTATAGTACTTCTATTAGTTTTGCCAGATAGAAGAGGTCTTAATTTATCCTGAAGGGGTCTATAGCAGGAATAAGTCAAACTGTTGTTACCACAAATGCATTTTTGAGAATTGGAGGCCTGTCGATGTTCAGAGAGCTTCTGGTATTATGAAAGGTCCAGGAACAAGGTAAACATTTAAGGTGAGTTTAATGAAGAACTATAACAATTGTACCTAGCTTTGGCTTTATCAGGATTTGCTTTAAAATATAACATTCACAACAGAGTGAGTTCTCATGATTCATGTAGTTAGGTTCCATAAAGTCTCTGTGAACACAGAGTTAGCAAATAATGAACCTTTGCTGTTGTGGAAATGCAGGATAAGTTCTTGCAAGCCTCTGGTCACAATATTTTCATTAACAGATCAATGCATAACCTTGTGGTATGTGTGTGTCTATTTAAAGACTTCTTATTTAAAACAGATGGTTGATTCTTGAACATTGAACTATGGCCAACAGCATTGTAACTCATGCCTGAACGAAGCTTCTCTAACACACATGTTTTCTGCATAAGGCACATCATAGCCTTCTGTGCTTAGGAACACTAGATGGCACTTCAGTACCCCAGTGACTGGGAGCCATTTTAACCCCCAAATTGGCAAGTGTGGCACTAACTACACAGCAGAAAGGACACCTATTTCCAGTACGGGAACTGGAATAAGAAGGTGGAGCACCAGCTTGTTCCACCTTGGCTGGGAACATGTGCATCGAGTGATTCGAAGTTTTTGCCACTCTGCACATTTTCCTAAATGATCACAGAAGCTCCACAAATATTGATTTTGGGGTTACAAATAAATTGTAGCAAGTAGGTAAACTTGTAAACATAGAATCCATGAATAATGAAGATCGATTATATGTGATTAATGAATGACATTATTTTTATAACCAAAGTTCAATTTGGTTAATTATGTGCTAACCCATGCTTAGTTAAACCCTGTCTGGGGAAAATCCTTGATCCCACACAGTTCTTCTCTGATTTGTAGGGAGAAAGCATAGGGAGGTAACAACAACTGGACCAGGTACTTGCCTTGCAAATCGAAACCCTGCATGACAGTGAAGACCCTTTCACCAGTCCAGGTGTGAAAAACACCACTTGAGTGATGACTAACCCATATGCTCACCCTAACTAGTGAGAACTCACAACAGACTTAATCTCCTTTTGCCTCTTGTGCATCACTTACAACAGAGCATGTGAAGCATAGAGGGTTTTAATCTTGGGACGGGACTTCCACCCTAGGAGAATAAAAAACACAAGGAATTGCCAAAGCTAGACTTGCATGTCTCCCAAGACAGGAGCATCAATCAAACAGCAATGGAAGATGCTGTTTGATGCAGCCAGGGAGTTAAACCCAGGCACAGAAAGACCAGGAAGTGTACTCTGGGTCCTGCTTACAAGCCTCGGTGAATTAAATTCATAGGTGAAATCCAGGAGGTAGAAAGAATGATTCAGCTGGTTAATTGTAAAGTTTGATTCAAATTTGAAAGCTATCCAAGCTGCCCCCTCTTGAACAGTGAGAACAGTGGGGTCGTTTCAAACTTTGGAAGCAATTGCCAAACAAGGAACTGAGTCCCCAAAGCCCTTAGGTCCAAGATGTCCTGGTGCTAGCTCATTGTCCTGTCCAACACCATGGAGAGACTTCAAGGCCTCACCTCAGACCTCCTGCACTCCACTGGCACCCAGGGGCCTTATAGCAGTGGTGACTCCTCCCCACGCTTCCCAACTCAGACCTGTCCTTCATTGCAGGCCCCGTGCTTTCAAACCATCTGTGAGTCAGGCTTGTCACTGCTGTGTCCCTGCAGGGAAAGCCCAGACTCCTTTGGCTTTACCCTGGTCCTCTTCCATGATGCCCTAAATCTTGATTAAAGTGCGGTCGTAGGTACTATCATTAGAAGTTCTGGGGATTGTCATAAGAATGGTGAAAACACAGTAAGCTTTGGCACTTTTGAAGGCTTTTCTGCAAAATTTAGTTCTGTGCAACACTTTATTTCTGAATGATGCTAAAGTAAACAAGACCTAATCATTTTGGATGAATTGCTTGGTTCACAGCCTTCCTGGTTCATGCATATTTCTATTCTAGGTAGAAAGAATGATAGTAAAGTTTCTCAAATGAGAGAACTAGCATGAAGGAGCATGGCAGGGTCTCTTGGTTAGTGCCCCAATAGCCAGGTCCCACCTCGTTCTTCCAGGATGGCTCTGCTGAGGCCACCATCTCAGAAAATATCAAATTTCCGGTCTCCCTTGCAGCTAGGGGTGGGCATGTGACTGACATATGGCTAATGAGATTCAAGGGAAAGTCAGTGGGGAAGATTCTGGAAGAAGGTTTCCTCCTCGATTTAAAAAAAATTTGAAAAAAAATTGAACAATACAGAGACGTATCAGGAAAGTTCTCTGACAGCCCACGTGACTCTGGCCCTCTCCCCTCCTGCCTTTGCACTGAGTTGTGGTTAAGTCCGCTATAGCCCAATTGCTGTCACAAAGAGACTTACTACTCATGCACCAAAAATGGCAGGTGGGAGAGAGAAGTCCTGATCCTTGATGACACATTGAGTCCTTGAGCCAACCGTGGCACTGCCTTTATTCAGATTTCTTGTTATGTGAAAGAATTAAAACTCCTAAAGAGTTATTCTGGATATTCTGATATGTGTATCTGTAAACTTCCCAACAGATCAGGGGAGGAAGGGACTTCCTTTTAAGGTTTGTGTTCTGGGTTTGATCCTCAGAGCACATTTGAAAAGTAAAGAAACCGATGGGCAAAGATGCAGAAAAAATCATGTATGTAGACTGGTAGAGCAAGTTGTTAATGAGGCCAGGGCTGGGGTTGATTTTTTTTAAGATTTTATTTATTTATTTGAGAGAGAGAGCATGCACAAGCAGTGGGGAGAGGGAGAAGCAGATTCCACGCTGAGCTGAGAGCCCGAAGTAGGGCTCTATCCCAGGATTTTGGGATCATGACCTGAAGTGAAGGCAGACACTTAACTGACTGAGCCACCCAGGTGCCCCTGGGGTTGATTTTTTTGGGCAGTTTGGTTGGTGTTTTCATTTCATGGTCACCAGCTGAACACTTAATGCTCTCAACAGCAACAAGAGCACCACCACCACCATAATGGTGATAGCTAACACTTTACTGAGTGCTTACACCGGGTACTGATACTGTTCTAGGACTTTACACTTAAGAACTAATTCTGCCGGGAACCTGTCAGGTCTCCAAGGTGGCCCTTGATGGTCCCCAGCTCCTGGTGTTCACACCTTCAGGTCCTCACTCCTCACACTGTACCAGGGTTGCTTTGTGTGGCCAAGGGCATCAGGCAGAGGGGCTGGTGTGTCACTTCTGAGATTAGATGATGAAAGACAGCCTTCCTTCTTGGAGAAGAACTGAGGACTCCACCCAGACTGCTGCTTGGTATTTTTGTGGACGTGTATTATTTGATCACTTGGGTGGGGTGGTCCCCAGTGTGGAAGAAGTGGTATAAATCCATCATCATCTCTACGAGAAGAATAAGCTCCTGTGCCCATGGTGGGTCAGCAGAATCACCTTTCTACATCAAGGACACTGTGTACAAAGGACTCAGCCCACTTAGAGTCATTCTTTTATTAAATCGGTGACTTCAAAGGCTAGTGCAGAT